TGAGCAAACTCGAAAAATCAGGACCAAATCAGTGGTTAGTCTTCAAAGTAGGGTAAAAAACGCAATCGCCCTATCATATAAAGTCACCCGATTATCTCCAACTAGGGCTTTTCTAAAAGAGACATCAAGTAGTACGCTTGTGAACATATTGGCCAACACGACATTTTTCTTGCTAGCAAGATTATACAACGAGGTAAATAACTTATCAAAAGAAATGTCTCCCAAAACCTCAAAATTGAGTTCCATTATGAATCACAAAAGATCCATGTGAGAGAAAGAGACGATCGACATGGATGATCCCTCCAAGCAGAGGCGTTGGCATAGTACAGAGAACAAATCGGAGGGAAGGACGAGACAACATGGTGAGGGGTTGAGAACTATACATGCTTATGATTGTGGCAAATGGTGAGTAAATAAATTGATTTCAGCTCTACAATGTGGTATTTTTTCTTCACAAAAGCCAGATTCTACTTCTCATCGGTCTTCACAAACCAATGTAGTGACACGTGCCAAAAGCGAGATGAAAAGATAGCTTGTGTCTTTTGCTGGGGGAAGGCAGAACTGAACCATGCTATACACCATACATTGACCTATCAATCACTTTCGGACATTGTTTGGATAATAGGATTGGAAAATGATTTCCCACCCATCAAAAGGTATCTTTAAATCCTAACCATTCATTCTCCCTCTTCCATTTAATCCTAACTCTTCATTCATTTCCCAATCCCAATCCCACTCTCCATTTCCCATTATCCAAACACACCCTCGGAGACTAATTAGTAGTTGGCAATACATATTTATTTGTAAAAGATGGAAACCTTTGTACTATGAAAGTTTGACGTGTTAAAACAAAGGTGGTTAGCTGATTCTTTTAATTGTTATTGTAAGCCATATTTAGATCTGTAAGAAAAAAAAAGATACAACTAAAGATTAAGTTTGAGTAATACACTTGACATCCAAATACATACAGTTTTGTTCTAAGAAGAATCCAATAAAAAAGAAGAAGAAAACAAACGAAGAGAAATAAAGAGGATCAGATTCTCGTGGCCGAGTTTGCTCCGTAGTCCACATTGGAATCAAAGGTGTGCATTCTCATGTCTAGCATGAGAGTGAGACAGCTGACACTAATGTTTTTACAAGAACTAGCATGATGGCCCGCGCAGATTGTGCGGCTAGCATCATTATATTTTATCTCATATAATAGCATGTATATTTTCTCATTATATTATTCAAATATATTAAAATGACATCATAATTTTAAATTTTGCAATAACTTTATGAAACTACAAATGTGTAATATTCATATTGTATTTTATATACGTGTTAGTTATTAATTATTTTTAATATCAAATTTTAGTTATTTGTAAATTATATATATTTCTATATGGACTCTAGACTCGTCTTTTAATATTTCTTTTTCTTAATTCAGAATTTTCTGTAAATTGTATTTCTATATATACTCTAGGCTCTTCTTCCAATATTATTTATTTTTATTTCTAAATTTTTATTATTTCTAATTGTATTTCTATGTGGACTCTAAACTCATCTATCAATATTCTTTAATTTTTAATTTCGAATTTCAGTTACTTCTAAATTGTATTCCTATATTGACTTTAAACTCTTATTCCCATGTTTTTCTTAATTTCGAATTTTAGTTATTTGTAAATTGTATTTTTATACGGACTCAAAACTCTACTTTTAATTTTATTATGTTTATTCTGAATTTTAGTTAGTTTTAAATTCCTATATGGATTCTATACTCTACTTCTAATATTCCTTATATTTTAATTCCGAATTTCTATTTTTTTTCTTAATTGTATTTCTGTATGAACTCTATACTCTACTTCTAATATTCCGTATTTTTAATTCCGAATTTATATTATCTCCTAATTGTATTTCTATATGGACTCTATACTCTACTTCTAATATTCCTTATTTTTAATTCCGAATTTCAGATATTTCCTAATTGTATTTCTATATAGACTCTAGTCACCTCTTCTAATCAAGGTTGTCAGGATCAGGATACTAGGTAGTATCGTTTTGCTCAAAGTAATATCGTATCATAGGATCGTATCGTAGTATCGGGATACTGTGAGATTTTCTTTTTTTAAGTTTAATTTATATTTATATTAATTATATATAGCCATTCTATATTAAAAAATATAGTAATGATATATGCCGTGCAAATGGAGACTTATCAAGAGAATCCATGTTGGTTTTGATATATTTAACTGATTTTAAATTTGAGCATATTTATTTACATTATTTTCAAATCATGTTATTTTAAATCATATTTTGTAGTATTGTTGGGATCGTAGAATCGGGATACACCTAAGATTTCGTAGGATCGTGTAGTAATGAATAGTAGGATCGAGATACTATGAAAATTAGGATACTATGTGGGATCAGTATCGTTTCGGCTTGGTAGGATCGTAGTATCGTAAGATACTAGGATACGAATCGGGATACTGACAACCTTGCTTCTAATGTTCCTTATTTTTTAATTCCGAATTTCAACTATTTCTAAATTGTATTTCTATATGGACTCTAGTCTCCTTTTCTAATATTCCTTATTTTTTAATTTCGAATTTCTGCTATTTCTAAATTGTATTTCTATATGGACTCTGTTTTTTCTTTTTTCCCGATTAATGTGAAAATTTCTAGGCCATGTGAGCGAATGTGGAGGCTCCTTTTTCTATTCCTTTAATAATATAATAGATATTCAACTAGATCATATGGCTTGTGTAGAAGCATTATTAGTTAATTTATCTTTCCGAGCAGATGTCTAGCGAATAATCTTGCTGTTTGGCAGCACATTTTAACGGAATTTAGGGTGCCAAGTTGGTTGCATGCAAAGCAAATAAATGTCTGAGGCAAATGAGTAAATTAAATATAACTACTAGGCAGGTCTAATAGTATTTCTCTTAAAAATAATAATTCTAAGACATAGGGGTAGTATCACCGTTTTGATATTTTCTTTAGGTTTATATACACACACAATTAATTAATGCCTTTTGTTAAAAGTTCCTTTACAAGTTAATTGTGGTATTAAAAAGGATTAATTATGGCAGGAACCAGAAAATATGTAAGCCTAGAGAGAAATTAGTCTATCAAATATGATAGTATTGGCATATATTCTTCTATTTGCAGCATGCAATTTCATACCACTAGTAAACAATCGTCTGTCTAAATTCGTAGTACTAGAATATTCTAATCTGGATTCTAAATTGCTATATTTTAAGAATGAAATGAATATATAAAGTTAAACGGAAATTTTACCCACATGAAGCACCTTCTTACCTACACACCTAGTTATTACCCCACTTTCTTGACATTGACTGTCAACAAGAATTAGGAGAGGTCCACAGATGGGGGCAAATGGAGAGGTCCACAGATGGCGGCGGCTTTACGAGGAGGAAGGCTGGCAGCGGCTTGATGAGATGGAGGAGCGGCAGCGGCGGCTCGACAAGGAGGAGGAGGGGCGATGATGGCTAGACGAGGAGGAGGAGTGGTGGCGGCAGCTCGACGAGGAGGAGGAGGGACAACGGTGGCTTGACGAGGAGTGGTGGCTTGACGAAGAGGAGCAGTGGCGATGGCTTGACGATGAGGAGGAGGAGGGGCAACAGTGTTAGGGTGGATTTGGCGGAGGCTCGGCTACGGATCTAGTGGCGCCGAGGCACGCACGCAGCGGTGGCGGGCCTTAGTGGGGAGGCGGTGGTGCTGCGGGGAGGGAGGGAGCACCGGCGGCGGCGGCTCACAGAGAAAGGGAGCATCAGCGCACAGTGAGGCGACAATGGCTCGTGGAGGGTGGGAGCAGTGGAGCCGGAGGGCGGAGGGAGTGGTGGTGGCTGCTGCTCCGCACGGATGGGCTCGGGAGTTTGCCGTCGGCGACGTGGTGTCCTGCTGCTTGACATGTTTTTTTTCTTTTTCTTTTTCTTTTTGTTTTTGGTGGACATAAATTTGTGCCATGAAATTTTGTTTGATTCAGTTTAATATATACTAATTGCACAAAACTGAATAAAAAACTTTGAGAAACTAGGTTAAATTCACAAGGGTATAAATGAAATTTTTGTCTTGAGTTAACACCGTCATGTTGCCTTCACAGAATAGGGTCAAGCCCCATTTTCGTTTCTAAAAAAGAGAGTCAAATGACCAAATCAGTGGTTAGTCTTCAAAGTAGGGTAAAAAACGCAATTGCCCTATCATATAAAGTCACCCGATTATCTCCAATTAGGGCTTTTCTAAAGGAGACATCAAGTAGTACGTTTGTGAACACATTGGCCAACACGACATTTTTCTTGCTAGCAAGATTATTCAACGAGGTAAATAACTTATCAAAAGAAATGTCTCCCAAAACCTCAAAATTGAGTTCCATTATGAATCACAAAAGATCCATGTGAGAGAAAGAGACGATCGACATGGATGATCCCTCCAAGCAGAGGCGTTGGCATAGTACAGAGAACAAATCGGAGGGAAGGACGAGACAACATGGTGAGGGGTTGAGAACTATACATGCTTACGATTGTGGCAAATGGTGAGTAAATAAATTGATTTCAGCTCTACAATGTGGTATTTTTTCTTCACAAAAGCCAGATTCTACTTCTCATCGGTCTTCACAAACCAATGTAGTGACACGTGCCAAAAGCGAGATGAAAAGATAGCTTGTGTCTTTTACCGTTGCAAGGCATAACTGAACCATGCTATACACCATACATTGACCTATCAATCACTTTCGGAGATTAATTAGTAGTTGGTAATATATATTTATTTGTAAAAGATGGAAACCTTTGAGTTTGGAAAAACAAAAAGAGAATCCTCGCCGAAAACAAAAAACAAAAAAAAAGAAAAGAAAAGAAGAGAACGAAAGATGCATGTCTCATAACAAGACATAACCTTTTTTTTTTTGGGAAAATCCCAGACATAACCTGTGTCCATCGTGATTCTCATTTAACTTAGCTTCTCTGGTGCCTATATAAACCTCTCCATGGTGTCCATCTGCAGTGCACACACAGTTTCTGTAGTTGCAGGTCAGTCACAACTAAAACAGAAACCAGTTAGCTGCAGACAAACCACACACACAAATTCATGGCCTCTTCAAGTTGTACAGCTCCCAAGGCAGCACCTGAGTTTCACCCCACAGTTTGGGGTGACTTCTTTATCAACTATGAACCACAACCCTTGCAGGCATGCATGCTCGTACACTCTATTCCCTTACCTAGTGCAGAGTACACTTATCTCAAATTGAAGCCAAATGGTTTTGTATCTAAATCTTCCCTTTCTAATATTTTTCTGTTTTATAATTACAAGAGAATACACACGTAGTCTCGCCATTACACAAACACACTGGGCTGCTTTTCATCTTTTTTGTTTAGCTAGGGGCTTCATGTTCTTAACCAGTTGAGTATTGGATATGCTAATTAACCAAGATTAACTAAATCAAGTACTTCGTCAAAATTTTTGGAAATGCCTCAAGTACTTTACTTCAAATTTCTGAATTCGCAATCTACAAATCCAAGTGGATTATAATGCATAAAAATCGAGCATGTTAGACATTTCACCATGACAAGGGACAACTTATAATATTTATTAAATATAAAAATGATAAAACAAATAAGATCCATATGCATGATCAATTTTAAACCCTTTCCCTTTTTTTTTCAATAAAGGTGGCATAACTTCTTCCTTAAAGTACTTAAACTAGCACTTCATCTCATTTATATTCGAATTCATGAACATGTTCTCCTGTTCCAGTATTTCTACATGTCAACAAGCTCTTTCCACACATATATAGCATTCTTTAGCGATTCGTACAGGTTACCATGCATGCATGATTTGCTTAAAAAGTGATCTGCTGAAACCATAAATTTTTCATGGATCGATATGCATGATGCTTGCAGTATAATACCTTTTCTCATGTACCATGAGAGATAAATAAATTGTCATCAAATTGCTTCTCCTTTCCACATATTTTTACCTAACATATGTATTAATTCGTGTTAGCAGCGGCCAGAGAAATGGATGAGAGAGAGATCCGATCAGTTAAGAAAGGACGTAAGTCAGCTGTTCGACGCTTTCGATGGTGTGGCAGAAAAAATGAATCTAGTTGACACGCTCCAACGCCTGGGGATAGATCATCTCTTTGAGGAAGAGATAGCCACCACCTTGAATACCATTCATGGTGCTGAATTTGACAGCCCTAGCCTTCATGACGTTGCCCTCCGGTTTCGCTTGCTGAGGCAGCAAGGGTTATGGGTTTCATCAGGTATGCTGTAAAAGTGAAATATTTATATGCTAATACTCCCTTTGTATTTTAATGTATGATGCCGTTAACTTTTTAATCAACGTTTGATCATTTGTCTTATTAAAATAATATATACAATTATCATTTATTTTACTGTGACTTGATTCATCATCAAATGTTCTTTAAGCATGACATAAATATTTTTATATTTGCACAAAAATTTTGAATAGAACGAATGGTCAAATTTTGGTTAAAAAAGTCAACAACGTCAAACATTAAAATACGAAGGAAATATATGCTATCCGCTTGCAAATACTTTTTTTTTTGGTGGGGAAAAGACAGATATATTACTCAGCTAAAGCCTCCTTACAAACAGCTTGTGAGATTAAATTACAACTTCCATCCGGCCAAAACTCCGAACGAGCATTAGTCCGGCCTCTATTAGCTAAGTAATGTCTGATATTGTTCTGACTACGCTGAATTTTCCGAATTCTAACTTCCCTTCCTTCAGACAGCATCTCTCCTATGTCTCTAACAAGGTAGGCAAGCTGAGACCACTCCTTCTTCTTAGATTGGATCATATCGACTGCAACCAAACAATCTGACTCAACAATGATCGGCAGCAAGGTCCATTGCAAAGCCAGATTAATTCCCTCTTTGCAAGCTAGAAGTTCAGCTTCAAGAGGGTTGCAACATCTCTCTATAAAGCCACAGGCTGAAAAAATAACAGTTCCTAACCTGTCCCTAAGCACCGCCCCTATGCCTCCTGTACTAGAGCTCGAATCAAAGGAACCATCAACATTTAACTTCATCCAGCCTGGCTGCGGACGCTCCCAACGGCATGGAACTGATCTTTTCTCTGGTCTTGCCGCTACACAATTCTGTAAACCAGACTGAACCACATGTTTCCCTTTAACCACATCGACAAGGGGAAACTGTCTAACTTCAAGCAGAGAACTGCAGTAACTTTCCAGGAATCTTTTTGACACATCAATAGGCGGAGGAATTTTACCATGATATAACTCATTACGGACGAACTAGATCCGCCATAGAAGCATTAGCAGCATCATTCTCTCCTCCTTTGGTGTTTTTTCAACTTGGTTGAGAAACCAGTAACTTCCTGTACCATTTCCGACTACGCCCATGGACAAATACCCTGAATTCTCCAGAGCTGCCCAAAGATGAACAGCATGAGGACAGCGACAAAGGGCATGTTCAACATCTTCTTTTTCATTCCCACAGATGCAGCAAACATCAACTCGCTCCATGTTTCTCTTTTTCTTGTTGGCTTGAGTTGCCAGGCTATTAGTTGCAGCCCGCCAATCAAATATCTTCACCTTTTGTGGCACTTCACATTTCCAAATCATATCCCAAGCCGCCTTAGAGTTTTGTCCTGAAGAACTTGAGCTTTCATCAGTAGTTGCTAAGGAGAGCACCAACTTGTAAGCACTCCTCACCGAGAATCGACCTAACTTATCCGGGTGCCACGCAGGAAAATCCTCCTCCAGACGCACTGAAGTACGGATTCTAAGGATCTCTTCAGTGTCAATCGGCAGGAAGGTCTGAGACACCTTAAGAGCATCCCAAGAACCATTTGGGCTCAAAAGATCAGAAACCCATTTCAAACGATAGTGTCCCTTCGTGGTAATCGGCCTCCGAGAGAGGTCTCTCGGGATCCATGGATCTCGCCAAATGCAAACTGACTGGCCATTATCAATCCTCTAGATAATGCCTTTCTTAAGAAGCTCTAGGCCAAATTCGATTGCCTTCCACCCCGGAAGTTAGGTTCAACTAGGCAACTCTACTTTTTGAAAGTTAATGTTAACAAAATTCCCAGGCTTAGTAATAACTGAAAAGAGCTGGTAACAAAAAGAATATTATATAACAAATATTATGATTTTAACATGCATGTGTGTACTTTGCAGATGTTTTCAACAAATTCAAACACAGAGATGGAAGCTTTATCATTGACATAACAAATGACCCAAAAGGTCTCTTAAGCTTATACAATGCTGCCAACCTTCTCACCCACAACGAGGAAGCCCTCCAGGAAGCTATCTTATTTTCAAGGCATCATTTGGAGTTAATGAAAAGTAACCTGAAGTCCCCATTAGCTGAGCAAGTTTCACGTGCTCTTCAGATACCATTGTCCAGAAACTTGAAGAGGGTTGAGGCCCTATCTTATATATTAGAGTACAATGTACACGAGCAAACATACAACCCCTCAATACTGGAGCTTGCCAAGCTAGACTTTAACCTTCTTCAACATATTCACCAAAGGGAGCTCAAGACAATTACTCAGTAATTTTTCGGAGCATGCTCTAAATATATCAAACTCAATATCTATGAGCCCTAATATAAATGGAATTTGACAATGACTAGAACTTTTTTACTATCACTTACAACAACATACACATATCCTTTCTTAATTTCAGGTGGTGGGAGGATCTTTCAAATGACATAGGACTAGACTACATAAGGGATCGCATTGTTGAATGCTACTTTTGGTCATATTCTATGTACTTTGAGGAGGAGTACACACGTGCCCGGATGATCCTTGCCAAGTTTTTCATGTTAACATCATTGTTAGATGACACTTATGATACGCATGCTACTTTGGAGGAATGTCGAAATCTCAATGTGGCCATACAAAGGTTATACTATTATTTTTGATTAACTTTCATCTAGAGAACAAAACATGGGTATAATCAATGAGGTGAAATTTGACTAACTAATTCGTGCAAAAAATGACCATGCAGCTGGGATGAGAGTGATATTTCTGTTCTACCAGATTATCTGAAGAAATTCTTTCTCAAGGTGATGAGCAATTTCGTGGAGTTCGAGAATGAATTGGAACCACATATTAGGCACCGCAATGCTTACAATAGGAAAGTGGTATGACACCTTTTTACGTTTACCTCCGTTTGTATTATTGATTTTACAAATTAAATAGCAAGTATGTTCATTTCCCTAATATTCATGTAAAATTCGCACTATAGCTAATTGATCAAGTAAACATGCCATCATCTTTCATGGTGCTACGATATTTTTCCTTAAAAACATCAACCATATTTTATTACATGTAACAGGAACCCAATTTTGGAATTAAGTTAAAAGAAAGGTCCCCCAAAAACAGGCAAGGACCACTGATGTAACTGAAACCAAAGATAAATTAAGTAACATCTTCTGGCCCAAGTTTTTAACTTGGAATGGTATGCTGGTTCCAAAAAACTGGCAAGGACCCCACCATTTTTGGCTCACCTTCCTATTGCTTATATTTCGTGAACTAATTTATAAACAAAATTTTAGTTTCCCTAAAGCAAATCGGTGATAAAAGTTGGAACCAGTCTCCTTTTGGTATTTGGACAGTTGTAATTTTTGAAACCCTACATGCTTCATGGTGCTTACATATTACTCCTTTGATCCAGTTACAAGTATATATAATTTTGGATATTGACATGGTGTTCCAAATGCTATTTTTTTAATCAATCACTAATTTATATTATTTGTAACAATTTAAGTTATAATATTATGGAGTAATTTTCAAGGAAACTACTAAAGTATGTGATCAAACTTTCATGAGTCAAAATGTAAATATTTAAAAATCCACGGATACTTCAAACTTTGAATTAATTGACTAGGTGTTTGAAATGAAATTACTATTTGTAACTGAAAATTAAGACAATATTTAACAAATAGGTGGATGGATTGGTGAAGGACTTTAAAAAGAAAAAGAGAGGTGTTGCGGACTGTTGGAATGGATAGTAAAGACAATAAAGCAAAAACAATGTTTGCCTAACCACAATGTGAGATTAAATAGACCCGCCACATATAAAGTTGCTTGAAAAAGTAGGGCACTGAAAAATACCTCAAAAACTGAATATCCACCACAAAAGATGACTAACTTATTGAATATATTGATTTGTAGAGCATACAAATAGGTACAATCTGCCAAACAAAAAAGGAACCAAGGAAAAAAAATTAGTAGAACGATATTTGAGATAAATGACAATATAACATAACCCAATGGCACCTCCACATCTTCCATTCGCCTAGCTCTTCCACCTCTGCCGCAACATTTCTCACTAGACCCCCAAGATTATGATTAAACAAACAAACAAACGAGCAATCAATCTTAACCAATTAATTATATATGTGCCGGCCGCTCAAATCTGTCCTTAAGTCCGCGCACAACACACACATTTGCAATGTCCTCGAATTCCCAATATCTACACCTCTTCGAGAGAGATGCCGTTGCCTTTTCCTTTATACAGCTTCTCTCCATCTTCTCAAGTCAAATCGATCGCAGTCAGAATGTCAGATGAGCTGAGAAATCAGAGAAGAAGTTGGCTCGCTCGCTTTTCCAGTCTGGTCGTCGGCGGTCTCCGCCGTCGAGGCGGCGTCGACCGAGCCGCGCTTCCCGGGCCAGCCTCCCCATCCTTCCTGGCTCCTGCCGCTTGCCACCGTACGCCGGTGCCGCCTCGGCCTCGTGCGCCCCTTTTTTTTCTTTCTTTTTTTTTCCGTTTCAGATAATTTACTCCGCTAAGTAGGGCTGGATCGGAGTGGCAGTAGCCCATGGGCCTCTTGGGCCATGGCCCAGCAAGGCAGCAACTCCTCGTCATCCAGAAAAGGAATTAGTCTATTGTGGATCCTTCAAGTCTTGATCCTCCCTCATACCGAGTATAACGTCTCCCCAATCTTTAAAAACTAGAGCCAATCAGTTCCCTCGACCGTTTGGATAGCAGTCTCATCCTATGTAATGCTCATATGACCTACTTGTCAGTGAGAAAAAAAATAAAAACAATATGGTCTTACATGTCAATCATCTTGGTCTCCCCCTTTGCTCTTTCTCCTCTCTACCCCGTCCCCCATAGAGTCATCGTATCCTATTAAAAAAAAAGTTTGCCGATCCTTGTAATGGGACTAAACGCACATAAAACAAAAAATGAAACGCTACCTCCGTTAAGGACATCGTCCTATAATACCTTGATTTCTTAAATCATTACTGGATAAAAATATTAAGATTTAATATGTGAAGATAGCATTGATAGATCTGTGATGAGAAAAAAAATATTTTATATGGTTTTTTTTAAATATATTTTAGAAATATTAAAAAATATTAATGATGAGACAACTACATTGGAGACTATGGCGGCTTAGCTATTCCTCTATTTTCGTTGGCACGCTTTTCAAACTGTTAAACGGTGTATTTTACGTGAAAACTTATATATATGTATACATACATATATGTGTATATGTATATGTATATGTATATGTATATGTGTATATATATATATATATATATGTGTGTGTGTAAGTTGTTTAAAAAAATCTAATAAATTTATTCATCAAATTTTTATATATTAATACTTAATTAATCATATGCTAATATCATTTCTCGTTTTACGTGCGGCTAATTACTGTTTCAAACATCTAAAAAGAACACAGCCATATATATCAATGTTTGGACAAGTAAAGAACAGAGGTAGTATCAGCATGCACTTACTATGTGATACACACACACCCCTACCTCATAGATCTTAGCATTGTTCTGTTTTCTCCTATGCAGTTTCAATTGTTATCTGGGTATTATCTCCAGGAGGCAGAATGGTTCCATCATAACTACGTACCAAGTTTCAAAGAGCAAATAGAAGTGTCGGTGATGTCTGCAGGTATTCAAGCACTAAGTGTATGTATACTTGTCGGCATGGGAAATATAGTAACCGAGGAGACACTTGAGTGGGCCATTGGCAACAATGATGCCGTTAGGGCTGGCGGTGAGGTGGCACGTTTCATGGATGACATGGCTGCATTTAAGGTATGAGTTTAAGCTTTGTAAATAGAACTTACTCCTCTACTGTATTGCTTTTATAGTAGGAGTCACTGACATATAGATCCTAGAGCATGTCAGATCCATGTGTCAATATGTCGTATTGCAACAGCAGTGCTAGAGATCAGGATCTCTCTTGTAAATATCAAATCTAACTTTACCATGGTATATTGATACACATGCACATTGCTAAATCTGTCATTTTTCTTCATAGAATGGAAGGAACAAATTGGATGTAGCCAGCTCCGTGGAGTGCTACATCAAGGAGTACAATGTTACCAGTGAGGTTGCCCTAGCCAAGATAGGTTCTTTGGTCGAAGATGCATGGAAAACCATAAACCAAGCTCATATTGATCGCCGTGAACTGTTGCCATTTGTACATCGGGTCACCAACCTATCAAGGAGCATGGCTATTTTGTTTCTTGACAAAAGAGATGCATACACATACAGTAAGGATTTCAAAAGGACGATGGAGAGCCATTTTGTCAAACCTATTCCCCTTTAGGTACCGCACGTAGAAGTGTGAACTACTTTAATTATTATGTATTGGGATATTAGTTAAATATGACAATAATGATAATTAAGATGCCTGTTTTGATCATATGAGAGATTCATTATTGAACCTCTCAACTTGCGTTGATACATATGCAGCACTATGTATTGTCATCATGTAGGTCCATGTACGTACTAGCGTGTAAGCGTTTGGATTGTGTATATAACGAGTTATATCATGCGCTTCGAAATCATTCATCATATGTGCACTATGATTGATTTTCTTTTCTTATTACTTCCGCAACCATATTCCTAAGTTGGGAAGTCGATGCAGTGGGAGTCACTCCACCTACCACCAGGGTTCAAATCCTGGTCCCAACAAATATCACAGGCATGCAAATATGGTTTAATAAAATTAAGTGGGGTACGTAAGAGATTCGCCGTTGGTTTCCATCTATTTGAACCTTGTTAAGAGTTGTATTTGTGTGCAGTTTGGTGGCATTAATTCCAGCATATATATATGATACACACTAATTATTCCTTGCGGAAAAGAATGGGGAGCGCATGAACTAAAGTTGATCTCACCTTCATCATAGTTGAAAATACTAGACTGGTGGGTGACTTGGTCAACCTCTCGGTTCACCTATCCGACTATCTAGCCAATCGAACCGCAATTCACTAACGTAGAGATAAATTTTATGTTCCAATACAATCACAAATAACGCAGTGGTCGGATGGTTATGGGAGTTTACCCCTAGCTCAACCACCTCGGGTTGACTCCCCACCATGCCCATTTTCAAAATCAAGTGCTTGTGGACCCACGAGTTAGCCGGGCCTTTTTCTAGCCTATTTAAAGCAGTGACATGTCTTAGTCCTGGCCTGACTGAAGACGGTTTACTACTGGTTCACCTAACAACCCGCCGGTTTGAGCGGTCCAAAGTGGGTCAATTGTGTGTTCAATATTTCCATATAACTGGACCATGCTGACCTCGAGGAGCAGCAAAATGCTACCGCCACCGATTAGCAGCAAGGCGCTGCCGCTGTTGCCAGGAGCTTCCTGGTGATTGACAAGGGGCTCGACAAAATTGATGAGGGATCGTTCCTAGAAGTATTTGCATTAAAATCCTATGGCATCAATAAGGTGGTAAGAAAGGAATGTTGAATACTTACATTCATGATCTTGTCCCAATCAACTTGGGCTAGGTTGCACAAGGGGCTGGGGATATCTTCAGCAATGCTCAGCTTGTTGGCCACTGTTGGTAATTCTTAACCTCACAGATAAAATCTGCAAGCGCACGGAATAAAACGATGTAGCACTTCACCCGGGAGTATTCTCAGGTATCGATTTCCACAGGGAATGTGTGTGTCAGCTCTTCACCAGTTTCGTCCAAGGACACAAAGCTAAAGATAGGCTAAGGATAGAGAGGATTCACCTGTGAGAAACAGTGTCTACGGAAAGCTTAACTTTAATCCTAACGCGATACTTCGGGCACTGGCCAGCCTGTTGCTCTGAAATATCGCTCTACTACGCATCCGGACTGGGAGGACTTTAGTGATCTTGAGGGCTGTCACCACCTCACACCTACTGTGGGATGCAGAGCAAACACTGGAAATCAACTACCTAGACACCGCGTCTAAGTAGTTAATAACTTACTTTAATGTTAGCTACACACTAAAGCAATCACTATATTTTAATTGATTATAATGAACGATGATCCTGTATGCTAATTAGGAACTAATCAAGAAGTAAATCTCACTAAGCAAAACTAAATTACTCAAAAGATATTTCTATAATAATCAGAGTAATTAACAGAGCAAAAGAAATAAGAAGTGGATTACCGACAACTCCGGAACTCCTCCAACTTCTTCTACTCTACTCTCTCCCTAATCTAGTATACAATAAAGTACAATAGAGCCTCTTATAATTCAGCTCAAGCTTGGAGTGTGTGTTGAAGTGAGTGAAGTGAAGTCATTATATAGGGGCAGGTATAACGGTTGTAAAACACGAAAAGTCCATTTTGCCATCCAACCGTCATTCATGAGCTCATCCAGACTGTCCCTGCCAAACCCTACATCGGACGGTTGCGGGAGTGGTTCGGCCGAACCCAGGCCTGGTCCAACAGGCCCAGGTTTTGGCCTGTTGTCTCTCCTCCTCCTCTTCTATCCATTTCTGCGAGTGGAAGGCCCATTTGATGGTATTTTAGTGTAATTCTTGGCCCGCTTGTGATATGGATAGGAATTCTCCTTCACTTAAGTCTATAGTTCATCCAACATTGGCGGTTTGTCACCTGTATTCAAATATTCACCAATATTTGTGGAATATGTAAGAATTTAACCCTTTCACTATGTTGGATGTTTTATTTCCTTGATTTATGCATGTATTGGCGATATAAAATTGGCATTTAATAGCCGTCAACAGCCACCACCTTCTTGGTACAGTCTTTCGACCGTGTCAAAGTAGGAAGCTCCTCTAGCAGGAAGGCAAAGTACCCTGACCCCCTTTGGAAGTTCGGCCAGGGTGCAGGTACCGAGGTTGTGTTTGGATCGCATGAAAGGATGTAGATAAAAGATATATACAGGTTCATGATGTTTGAAAGCACAATACCCTACTATTGTGTTCTTGCTATATGCGATCAATATTACAATGTGTTATTGGGTGGATGTTGTTCTAAGTGGGAGATGATGAACCCTTCTTCACTTTCTTGTGTCTAGAATCTAACTTAGACCAACTAAACCAAATTTCTGAATTGAACCCTTTTCTCTGTGGAATTGGTCCTCCTTTTACATGCCAAGGGGATACTACAGTGCCCATGCAAGTATACATATGTGGGACCCAGCCCACAGGAAGTTGGTATGCTTAGTCTTCTCATTGTCCCTCTAAGAGGACCGGCTGGATGCAAAGGGTCTACCTACTGGTTGATGCGTGGAGCAGAGTCACCCAAGCCATCACCCCAGCAGTCATTGGGCCTGTATATCAACCACAGAGGAGGAGAAAAGTGGGCCCTTATAGCCAGGTGAGCATGGAGCACACGCTGGGTCACTTACTTTTTCTCCGGGGCGACATGGGCAACGAGGAGAGACATGCACCGCCACATCTCCCACGCCGCCCGTGATCTCTCCCCAGGAACCATATCACATGGTAATTAATGTGGAATAACGGGGCAAGGTTGTGCACATGATACCGTAATTAATGCTGAATGACGGGGTCAGGCAGCCGGCAGGACTGAGTCACATCTACCCAAAGACAAACTCGCTCGTAACAGACCTCGGGGCCCTGGCCCACGTGCAGTGACCGTGGTGGCCCTAAGTTGACGCTAGCTCGGCCCCGAGAAGCAGTTGTCCTCGGGTCACCTTCTTCGGCCAGGGGCACTACTTGGGTCCCTGTTTTAGTTCTCGCTTTGACCATTGTGGGCTCCACAGTTCCCCATGTTGCTGATGGAGTGGGAACCTCCGGTCCTACTTCTCTGACATACCATGTCCTTGAAAATATCTGCACATTGAAGTTCAGTTTAGGTTTTATATTTCAACTAATACAATGTAGATATTTGAAGAGGAAAAATAACCGTACTCCGCAAGATCATCCAGGTTAGCTATGTACTCGTGCACATGGTGATCATGCTCTTATAAAGGATGGTTCCGATGACGCATGAAATCGCTGATAACCTCATGCGCTATCAGAATACTCCCTTAACTCTCGAGTTATCTCGATAAAGGGATTTGGATTCCAATCGAGTAGAGGACCACGTTTTCTATCGGGCAGGCTTGGTGGTTGAGAATTTGAGGTGGCAAGAACTGGTATCGATGAAGAAGTAAAACCAACCTTTTCTCTATCCCTTCCTAGGAATAGGTGAGGTCATTACTATGTATGCTTTCTTCAAGCCATCTTGGACCCCGAACACCACAGTGACATGTGATCAAGGTAATAAATAGCGTTCATAGCGGGTGCTATAGCAGTAGCGGCCTCCTACCGCTACCGCTACGATGTAGCAGACTGGAAATAGCATGTTGGAACTTAGCGGCCGCTATTTTTACTTAGCGAGCCACTATAGCATGAGCAAATTTATATAATCACTAACCTATAACAAACGGCGAGTTTGTTAGTTATTTTGCCTCTCAAAATATTGTATTCTTGTGAGTTGTAACTTCTAATGAGTAGAATACCAGGTTTGTTCCTTAATTTAGTGTAAGTTGGAACAAGAGATCAACTTTTCGAGTGCTACTAATCCTCAGATGTTATAGTTATATTGATCTATCACTAATTTGTTTCTTAGTTACTTTGTTAATGTTTTATAAAGTTTGCACCAACTTGACTCACAAGTCACATCAGCACAAAATATTATCATATACGAATAGAAACCATCTAGAAGTCACAACCATGAAGCAATCTAGAAAATCCAGGAAAACAACCTGAAACCGACTCTCTTCCGGAGTTTGCTGGTCTAACTGTCGAGCTACCCAGTCAGACCGCTTCAACACTACTGGTCTAACTGGCCTCCCTGAGCTGATAACTCCATTTGCAATCCGAAAATACTATTCATCGTATTTCAATAAACATTACCTTTGATAATTTCTTCATCACCAAGATTAATCATCATATGACTCTACAACGCAAACTACCGTCCTAAATTGTTGCTACCTAGTTTTTTATGTGACACATTCTAGTACCATGAATCATCCTGTCTAGATTCGTAGTACGCTGGTATTTATTACGAGCACAGAATAATCTGCAAGCTCACAGGTACCGTTGTAGCTTTCACCCAAGAGTATTCCAGGGTATTGTATCCACAGGGAACGTGTGTGTATAATCTAAGAACATGATTCTTCCAAGGACAACGACTAAATGGTAGGCTTGGGATAGAGAAGATTCTTATGGGTTAAAATTCTTAAATAAGTTATGGTAAAACTCTATCTATTGATTCAGGCATTGGCTTACCCCTGGTCTGCCAAGGAGACTCCGGCCTATAGCTCTATGATGCTCCCAAACGTGAAGGATTACAAAGGACGGACATGGCTGTTACCACTTGCCGCCTACCTCTACAACCCATGGAGCACACAACAAACAAAGGTAACCTTCAGCCTAGACATCGCATCTATGCTATTGATTACTACGCTAATCTCGATGTCACGCTAGAAGATTAAGGTACTCTACCTAAGCAGAGCGATGAACCCATAACAATGAAAATATATCTTACTTAAATAAGAAAAGTAAATACCAAAGGTAATCACCAATACTTATATAAAAGAGACATCCGTCAAGG